CAGAAAACTCTCTAACAGCAACTCCACAACCAACTTTGTCACAACCAGAGAATCCCCAATTAGAGACTCTCCAACCAGAAACAATTATTTCAGAACAAAATCAACCAGAGACTGTTCAAAATGAACACTCTGAACAAACAATTCCCTCAGAAGATCCAAATCTTTCTGACAATATTCTTGATATTCAACCCCTCAACCAAACAATTGTAATTTCTTCAACATCTATTCACTCAGATGAATCTTCTGATTCATCTGATTCATCTGATTGTGATTCAGAATCACTCAAACAAGCTCGCTCTGAAAGTGTTATGAAGAAACATCTTAACATTTCCTTGTTCCATACCCCACCAAACTCTCCATCTCATCAACAACCATCTGAAACACAACCATCTGACACTCAAACATCTGAAAATCAAACCATTCCTCAACCACCTGAAACTAATCCATCTGAGAATCAGACTTTTCCTAAATCATCTGAACTCCCTCAATCTGACTTCCACACATCTCAACCACCCACACCTCAACCACAACCATCTGAACCTACTCCTGCTAACACCCCTAATCCTTTTTCCTCTGGACAGACTGAACAGTCAGATTTAGGATCTTGTGTTAATGCTATGTTTGATATTTTCAAAAAGGAGTTAGATTCTGAATATGATCGTGTTAAGGCTGTATGCATGTCTAGTTTGGATCCAAATGTTTCGAATACTGCTTGGAAGCGTTTCATCTGGATGTTTAACAAAGCTGCCCTAAAAGTTAGAGCCAAATGCTCTAAGCTTGCTAAGACTAAATTTGCTGAGTTAATCAAGGTAACGCTGATGAACATGCCTCCTCCTCCTCCTATGTTACTTTTGGAAGCTGCTCCTCCAGTAGTTCCTGACTCTGAAATGGTTGAACAAGCTTCTGTTGAAAACCAAACTGAAGGGAACCCTGCTGCTACTGCATCTGCTCCGTCTTCATCTGTGGTTTCAGAACTTGTGAATGATGTGAAGGATATAAAGGACTGGATGATCAAGCAAGAAAAGACAACTGATGAAATCAAGACCTGGATGTCTAAGCAAGAAGAGTCAGCCGCCAAGATGACAGAGCTTCTGACCCTTATTGCCTCTCGCCAGACCTAGTTTTATTTGTTGTTTTGCACATGAACTGATTTTGCTGTCTGTTTATCTTTTGTTGTGTTATGTGTTTTGGCATCTGCCTGTTTGTCTGTGAACTTTGGTTTGTTTTATTGCATGATAACATGTTTTGCTCCTATTTGATTCTTTTCTTCTATATCTTTCTGTCTTTGAAAATCTTTTTGATTATGACAAAAAGGGGGAGAAAAAGAGAAACTGAGTGTTCAACCTATAAGTAATTACTAAACCTGAAATTCAGACATTTTATTAACTTACCTTGAATTTAAGTCTTTCAGATTACATTGATATATCTGACATAATTCATTGAAGTTACCCTGAGACTGTGTCAACCAGAACCTGATTCTCTAAAGAAAATCTGAGTATTCAATCAACTCTGATAACTCTGATATCTTACTCTGATACATTTATTCTGAAAGAGAATTCATGCAAGATGATAACCAGACGTTCTGACTAAAGAAAGTCATATGTATCTGGCATCAAGATTTGACTCTGAACTCTTTCATCAGGCTCTGAATCTGAAATATACTTAATCAGAAAGGGAAGTATTATATTCTATTGAAGTATTTATTTCAGGGGGAGATTGTTAATCTCAGGGGGAGTTTCTAATTCTTAATCTTTATTGAACAAAATTTCTCATGTTTTGTCATCATCAAAAAGGGGGAGATTGTAAGAGCACAGATTGTGTCTTAGTTATATCTCTATGTTTTGATGATAACTCTTATAAATTTTGTATTCAAGAATTATATACTCTAAACGTGTTCTAGATTATTTGCTACAGGCATTAAAGAAAATTATCTTAAGAAAGCAAATTAAGATCTGAACAATGTTATTATGAAGGACATCATAAGTTCAAGAGCATCTTAGTAAAGATCTGAACGCTACTCCCAGAAGAATCTGACTACTGTCTCTTGAAGATTCTGAAGCAGGAGCCTCTAAAGCATAGAAGACTCTGCTCTGAGAGATTTACACGCTCAAGCACACAAGCTGCACATACTCTGATTCAGCTCAATCTGAAGAATATTCAAGACTCTGAAGATCCAGATGATCTCTAGTCTGGAGACTCTGAAGATTCAGATTCTTATGTTGAAAGCTGAACTTACTTTGAAGAGGATTTAAATATGTACGTTGGTTTTTCTCAACAGCTCTTTCCTATTTTGTGCTAGACACAAGGACACAGACAAAAAGGTTTTATCTGTGCATTCCATTATGAGGAAAGTTTTCTGCAAGTGAAGACAAAAGGCATCAGGCTTGTTTCAGCACAACCTCCAATGTGAAGACAAAAGGCTTCAGGCTTTTCTGCACAGCCTTCAACGTAACAAGACTTCTTGGATCTTAGTGCCTATATAAAGAAGTCCACTCCATCTTCTTCAGTATCGAACTTCTAGCAAAATCACTCATCAAAGCAAATCTCTCAAAGCTCCTATTATTTTATTTTGCTTTAACTTCGTTCTTAACTTAAGAGAAATATCACAGTTGTGATAACAACTTATTAGAAGCATTCTTACTCTTGTAAAAGTTTTGCATTGTTTGTAAAAGGTTTTCCTTAAGAGGATCCAGTTAGGATCAGTTGCTCTTGAGAAGACTAAGAACAGTTGTTCTTAGGTGTTGCTATTTGTAATCTGTTTGATTTAAATAGTGGATTAAGTCCTTGACAGAGAAAGGCAAATCACTCTTGAGAGGGTGGACTGGAGTAGTTGTATTCAACGAACCAGGATAAAAATATCTGTGTTCTAATCTTTGATTTTTAGTCTTACTTATTCAACCCCCCCTTCTAAGTAATTTTCTCACCTTCACAGGTGCCTCGTTAAAAACCCTTGCCCTTATAAGGGAAAAGAGTGCAACCCGGATCCTTTATTCGTTATTGAATTACATGATATTTAGCTGAGATATAGCCTAAGATTGGATACATTCCATGTCTATGGTATTTCTACTCCCTCTAATGTTTCCAGCTTGTAGGCTCCGTTGTTTAGCTTTCAAAGTACCCTGAATGGGCCTTCCTAGTTGGGAGCAAGTTTTTCCTTGTTTTTTGGGTCTGTGATCCCTCTGCCAGACTTTCAAGTTATATCTTCTTGCCAACCTTTTTTTGCATCGACTTCTCTGACTCGTGCTGTCTCTCTAACCTCATCTATCAGATCAACCGAGATGTTAAAGTTATCTATGCTGGCGACTTCATCAAAGTGTTCACGCCTCCAAGTTGGGGTGTTGATTTCCACCGGTATCATTGCATCAGCTCCATACACCATCCTGAAGGGTGTCTCTTGAGTAGTAGAATATGGTGTTGTGTGGTATGACCCTAAGATCTCGGGTATGTACTTAGCCCACATTCCTTTTGCCTCCTCCAACTTTTTTTTATTCCTCCTAGGATAACCTTATTTGCAGCTTCTGCTTGACCATTGGTTTGAAGTTGTTCCACAGATGTGAACCTATTTTTTATTCCATAATCCCTGCAAAAGTCTATGACAGAGTGCTTGTAAATTGGGCTCCATTGTCCGAGACTATGATTCCTGGCAAACCGAATCGACATATGATGTTCCTCTAATAAAATTTGTGAAACCTCTCGGCAGAGATCCGAGCAACAACCTCGGCTACCACCCATTTTGTGAAATAGACAACTACAACGATTAGGAACTTGAGCTGTCCTGAAGCAATTGGAAATGGTCCTAGGATGTCTGCTCCCCACTGATGGAACAGTCATGGAGATGAAATGAAATGGAGCGACTGATCTGGTAGGTGTTTAATTGGAGCGAATACTTGTCACTTTTCGCACTTGCTAACATACTCGATGCAATCTTGTATCATATGCGACCAGTAGTACCCGACTCTTAGGATTTTTCCAGATAGTGCTCTCCCACCGTTCCTTAAGGCTTATCTTCGATAGATCCATGTAAAATTGTTCATGAAACAGTCTCTACAATTGACTCCAAGTTTGAAAGAAGTGTAGTAAACCAGGTGAAGACATTTTTTATAAGAGAATTTGGAAAGTACTTCATTTTCAAATTCTCATTGTTTGCTATGTTGCTAGTCTCAGTTTGATACCTAGCGACATGTTTCATTATCGACTCACTAGTGTCATTATCGACATATTACTAACATCGAAATCTTAAGCAACATTGTCGTTGAAATGTTGGACAAACTGTTTCTTTTCAGAAAAATAATAACTCTCAATCTTTAGCTCTCATCTTGAAACTTCGACTTCTTCAACTAACATAATAATATGTTATAAAAATGTCCATTTAAACTTCTAATTTTTTTCAAATTTTCCCACTATGCTGAAATTTTTGACCTTATCAAAAATTCCAGCTAACAATTATTCACACATTATTTTTAATTTCTCTCACTAACTTAATCACTAATCTAAATGTTATAATGTTAATTTTATAGGTCCACCTTACTACATTGCATCGAAAATCGACAAAATACAATTTTACTACCTCATCTTCAATTTCTACATAAACTTAAAATTAGCCAAACAAAAACCTCTTCAATTTCTACATAAACTTAAAATTAGCCAAACAAAAACCTATACACGATGTAATAATAAAAATCTATAACAATAATAAAAATTTCATACGACATAGCATGTAAAAAGAAATTAACAAAGTGGTTTACCTTGAATCTTACTGCTAGAAATTAAAAAACCGTGAAACGTTGCTTATAAAAATAAAACGGTGAAATATAACGGGAAGAACCGCGTTCCATCTGTAATAATAATAAAAACTCAGGCGAAGCGTCAGCATCACAAGACACACGCCACTAAATGTTATATGTTAGGGGTTCTTTTTTCCTTTGTTGTTGAAATTGAAAGGGGAAAGTGAAAAAAATAAAAAATAAATCAAACAAAGTTGCTTATTCATTTCATTTCGCATGGCGAAAACGAGACCAGGCAAAAAGGATTTAGACTCATACACAATCAGAGGCACAAACAAGATAGTAAGAGGTAACCCACAACAACAAAAACAACAAAACCCTAAAATTTTCATGATTCCATTTCAATTTCGTTAATTTTGTTTTGTTTTTTCAGCCGGAGAATGTGTTCTGATGCGACCTACAGACACATCAAAACCACCGTACGTAGCCCGTGTAGAGAAGATCGAACAAGACAACAGGAACAATGTGAGAGTTCGCGTGAGATGGTACTACAGACCTGAGGAATCAATTGGTGGTCGTAGACAGTTTCATGGTGCTAAAGAGCTTTTTCTTTCTGACCATTATGATGTTCAGAGTGCTCACACTATTGAAGGAAAATGCGTTGTTCACTCTTTTAAGAATTATACTAAGCTTGAGAATGTAGGTTCTGAGGATTATTATTGTAGATTTGAGTATAAGGCTGCTACCGGTGCTTTCACTCCTGACCGTGTCGCCGTGTGAGTTTTCTTTTGTGTTTTATATCCATTTCTTCTCTAAATGTAATGTAAATATAACAAAATGGGTTTTGAATTATGTTTTATTTGGTTTGTGTTTTGAAGGTATTGCAAATGTGAAATGCCTTATAACCCGGATGATCTCATGGTACAATGCGAGGGGTGCAAGGATTGGTAAACTAATATTCACTCTTTTGTATTTGCCATTACTTTTTCTATTTGTAGTTTTTGGCAGCATATGTGAAACTGCTGATGTGTGGCGTTAACTGTGACATGATTTTTGGGTTCTGTTTTTTACTATCTTCAATACATGTGATAGTAGTGCCGAAGGTTATCTGTAGATACATTTGTCTATATCATATAAGATTGCGGACGCAAAGCGTGTTAAACATAATCTGCGTAGTGTGTACAAGAATCGTATTATTGTGTTTCTTTTATTTTATTTTCTTGTGTTGAAAACACAAATTTCAATCTTTGTAGGTTTTTTGTAGGTACCATCCTGCTTGCGTGGGCGTGACTATTGAAGAAGCAAAGAAATTGGACCATTTTGTTTGTGCTGAATGTTCATCGGATGACGACATAAAGAAACCCCAAACTACATTTTCTTCATCACCTGGATCTGATAGCAAGGTGATTTCTTGTTTTACACCTTTGTTCTTATTACTTGTTTTTCACAGCATATGTCTGAGTTAGTAGTTTGATGTCTATTGTTCCTACCTTGGCATCTGTAGGGAGAGAAGGGAAAGGGGCACATTACTGAGTAAGAGTGGGTGGTGTAACATTTGTGTAGCATTTAGGTTTCATTTGGGAGTTTTGAGGGGAGAGGAAATGAGGGAAATACCTTACACCATATTTGAGAGTTAGTAGTTTCATTTATGTTTTATACCTTGACAATTTTGTATTTTTGACGAATTAGTGCTGGGAAAAATCATTTTGAGAAATAATGTGGACCTCTCAATGTTTGATGAACTAATCTCATATCAAATATTTTTAAAGGATTAAGCTGGAAACCTCCTTATTTTTCGATGACCAAATTGAGGGTTTGTTCTTAGTATCTCTTGTGATTATCATGCTTGCTCAGGTTCACACTTTTATTTTGCTACATTAATCTGAATATTTCCTCTACTTTAATATAATTCTACTAAATCTGGACACAACTAATATATTTATATATTTAATAATTTGTGCTACAAATTATTATCTTCTTTTCTAGATTTGGAGTGCGGGGTTGTAGATGTAGCCTGTAGACATGTTTTATTCCCATCCACTTTTATGATTTTTCAGAAATATTTCAAATACTCACTGTTTGTTTCATGTCTTATTGTAGGCTGAAATTACTCATCAGCTAATTTTCATTATTTTTGCGAAAACATAACTCACATCATCGTAGTCATTTAGATATTTGCTAATTCTTGACGAAATATGTTTATAAAACTTAAACTAGCCTTTAGAGGAATTTATGAAAAGTGAGCATACAATCTCCACCATCATGACTTGACTACTACAAATCACTTACACATATCACCCATGTGCATTTCACACTTTTTAATACTAAGGGGCATTAAGTTGGTTCTTGGTATAATTTGTTTTACATATGTATATAGGTATCTGTTATAAAGTTAGATTTTCTAGTCACATTATGCTATATATCCTTTTCTTTTAAATGTATTTATAGCTATGTATTTAAAGCCATGTATACAGGTTTTTCTCTTTGTGTGTCTGTGAATAACAAATAAGATTGTTTATTTAAAACAAATTATGTCTGCTTGTGGAAGTCATTAAACTTGGTCTTGCTCCGATTTCTGTCTATATTTTATCTTTGGTGCATCCTTTGCATATTGCACTTTAGTAAGAGCTTATTCTAAAATCTTGTGATTTTAAGACACAGTCCCTACTTATCAATTTGGTTGTTTGGAAATGCTTAGTTAGAATTTATTTACGTTTATCATATACCATAAATAAGTACTTGTGAAAGAGTCCAAAAGAGTATGAAAATAATTTATGACGCGGTTGTAAATTTATTTTAGGTTATTTTAGTAAGTTCTTGAAGGTAGTTTATATAAATAGTTTATGTGGAACCTACTTTCACACCCTCTTCAAAACAAATATTGAGAACATAAAAACATGAATATTCAAACACAAATAAGTTATTGGAGTATCAGCATTTCTTAAATGAGAGCACATAGGTTTAGTTTGATTCACTTTTAGTGTACATTGTTTTTCAAATAAGTAATGTTGATGGTTCTTCACTTAGAAAAAGTCCCGATTAGCTGATAGATGTTCATGGAAAAATTAAATGAGACAGCTAATTAAAATTCCAATGTGTAAAAGCAAATTTCAACATATATGACTGCAACTTAGAAAATTATAGTTATTCCAAGATTTGCTTATTATTGTTTTCGCAAGACTTTCTCTATAAGCTCTTGAGCTTTTTTCATAATGATATCAAGTTAGGCTGTGTCGCCGTTAAAATATGAATTAAGCAGTGTGTGGCTTTTGTTGGAACTTCAGAGGGTCTATGAGTGAGTTGATTCATTGTTTAGTGCATGTTTAAGACATGCATTTTAAAGTTTTGATCCTCTGCATTTTGAATATTATTAATATTGAAATCCTGAATTGCAGGTGGAGCCTAAGCGACGGAAGAGAGGACCATAATGCGTAGGCGACTGCAAAACTGCCGAGTTTTATGGGTTCTTTTATGTTGTAGTTGTGGAGTGTGTTGTACAGCTTCTTCTAGGGGCTAAAAACATTTTATGCATTTGACTCAAGCTACGTATCTGTTAGATTTTATGCCAGACATTCCCTTTTTTTCATGGAGACAAAAATTCCCCATCCAAGTGCAAAAGCAATTGTCGGTTGTTTAAAATGTTACTACTTCCCCATGGCACTTTTGGTCTTGTTAAAACCGGCACCATTAAATTTGATTGTAATTATTTTACTGTGAATGAACCCCACAAAGCGAATTCTTGGGGACTAAATGGAGAGTGGGGTATTAGGCTTAAACAATATGTCATTCTATTTGAAAATTTTTTACTCGACTCCTTGGCCTTCTTAGGCATCATCCGCTCTGCCTAAAATGTTTCTCCTGATTTCGGAGATGTATCTCTGAACGCATTTTTTCCCAGCTTTTTTTACTTAATTCCGTAGATGTATTTATGGAATATTTTCGTATATGTATTTATAGAAGAAATCCAGAAATAGAATACCAAAAAATAAATATTACAATGATAAAATTAACAATTATAAAATAAAATCGGTGTTATATTGATAATTTCGACAGAAATTTAAATACTATATTTCAATAGCCTGGACGCTTGTACATATCTAAGATGTCAATGATCGTTCTTTAGACCGTCGCCTTCAACTCGAGCGGAATTTTCTCTTTGAAACCGAAATACGTTTGCCACATCGCCCTAACATCGTTTTAATTCTTGAGCTTAAATTTGCTGTAAACAACGTTCCCTTTGTTGTCAATTGAAGGTGAACGATACTTAATCTTTACAACCTTTCGTTTGTCATTATAAGGTAGGCGATATTGGATCTTGTCTATGATATCGGGAGGGGGAGGGGTGAGATCCATGAGTTTGAACGTCCTTCCAGGTGTTTTGCCATCGGAAAAGGAGACACTTGTGATGTACAACGGAGCTTGACTTCAAACAATTGAGACATTTTTGTATTTGTGTGAAAGATAACAAATGAAACCCGAAATTTATAGAAAACCTAGGTGAATATGGACCAACCATTTTATGTAATCTTTTTTTCGGAGCTATATTCACGGAACGAACCCATAATTATTGGTTACAGAGGTGTATCTCCGGAACTTTCTCTGAAATTGTAAAATTAAGAACCTTCCGTAGATACATACCCTGAACTTTTCCCGCTATATTTTAAAACCAGAAGTCAATATAGAAGCACGTCATAATATACAAATAAAAGACATAAGGGCATAAATAAGACATAAGAATAAAAAGTGACTATTTTACACTTCAAAGTTTTTACAATTAGTCGTCTGATTATACAAGAATTCAAAACGAATCAAAACAAGTGTCGCCGACTAAATCTATTGGTGGTACCCCTTTGGACTTTTCCGCATTCGATTCCTTTTCAATGTTGTTCAATCTTTCGAATTCGTGCATTCTTTCAACAAAACGATCTGGCCACGTCTCAGCATTTGCGGTTGAATGAGTCGCCCATTTCGGTGATGTAGGTGGTATGGGGTATCCAGGTTTCAAGTAAACATGTACAAAATGTCTTGATTTTGCAAGTCATCCAATACACATGATGCGACCAATTGGATTTTGAGGTGGTGCGGTGCAGAGCGGAAAAAAGGTTTTCGAAAACCCGTATCGCGCCAAGTCAATGCACACCCTATCATATTCACATGTAATAAGATGACCCATATCAGAGAAGGTCATCCATTTCGACACCAGTGCCGAACCACTTAAGTAAGAAACAAGAGATTCATAAACCGCATCGAATTTTTCTTTCTTTCCATACAACTGCGTGTACGATTCTTTATGCGTCTTCAACTTTTGGATTATTTGATGACGAACAAGCGCATGACTATCCTCTCCTTTACCAAGCAAAGTCGAAACGGCTCGGTAACCGCAATTACCATCCTCTCCAACATTGACAATATGATCGATATATTTGTGCATAAAAATCGACATCTTGTCGTGAATGGAATTTTCGGTGGAATCGGGGTCAGAAGCGGTTTGCTTATGCGGGCTCCTTTCATGAAACTTTTTTGAGATTTAGGAGTGGGTGAGTCAGGATAAAGTTTGTCAACGTGCTCATAATGAGAAGGAGATTGTGTAGTCGAGTTGCCATTCGGTGTAGGCTTCATTTTCTTCGAAGCACCTTTTGTCTTTACCGATTGAGAAGGAGGTTTCATGTCGGTTGTTTCGGGATAGTAAACCTTCCTCAATTGTTCTTTGATGTGGAGTTTCATGTTGTCATCGGCCTTTGAGAATCTCTCTTGTATCGCTTCCCGTTCGGTCAAAATAGAGATATTCGATTTACCTCCTTCCATGCAACCATCATCATTAAAACTAACTCTTTTAATGAGTGAAAACTTCATCCATTCTTATTGGCTCACCTAGTTTCAACTTTTTAGCAATAACACAAGCACACAGAAGACCATAGGTTTTCACAATAGTGCAACCACACTTTGCGCTACTGGAACCTGCAGTTTCAACTAGTTTGGCCTCGTGAAAAATATAGTTCAACCCTGACCGAGACATATTGCCAATCAATTGAAAATAAATAATGTTGTCTTTTGATCAGTCACCATTTCTATGTTGTTTCCCGCACTTATTTGACATCTAATCCACGAATCGGTAATGTTTATGTTAGTTTTTTTTACTGCTTTTGAGTGATATTTACTATTTTTATGTTTTTCTCGAGTTTTATGTTTTTCTAGTGCTTTTGTTATATTTAGTGCATTTTACGCGTTTGGTAGTGGTATTGAAGTTTTCAGGTCCATACGAAGAAAGGCAAAAGACTCGGACGAAGAAATAGGAGATTTGGGAAAAGTCGGAGGAGTTTTTCAAGCATTTGGGAAAAGTCGGAGGAGTTTTTCAAGCATTGCAGTGGCCTGACATGGCCACCCATGTTGTAACACCCATTTTAATTATTTAATATTTCTGGTGTTATTTTAATTCGGCCTGTCTTTTGTGGAGATTATTTAAGAAGCTATAGCCTTTAATATTAGTATAATAAAATTAATAATGATAATAATTTGATAATTAATAGTATTATTATTATTATTATTATTATTATTATTATTATTATTATTATTATTATTATTATTATTATTATTATTATTATTATTAGAATTAAAAGAAATGGGAAATAAGTGTGATAAGGGGTATTTGGTGAGTGGAAAAGAAAGGAAAAGAGGAACACGATCAATTGGGAAAGAAGAGGAAGGAGAGAAGAAAAAGAACAAGAGGAAGAAGAAGAAGGCTAGGCTGTCGGATTCTTGGAAGTTTTCATCGATCAGAGCAACTAGTCGAGGTAAGGGGGGAGAAACGGGTTAAAATTGGTGATTGCATGAATGGGGTAGTTGGGGATTCCATAACCCTATAGGGATTTGATGATCATGATTAAGATGCTGTAATGTTCTGATTGTTGTTTCCATGGATGAATGGTGTTTGTGTTGATAGGAATTTGGTGAAATTCTGTTATGCTAGCCTTGCATGTGATTATGTAGGGATTTGTTGGGTGTTCCGAGCAGTTTACCGTTTAGGTCGGAAATGATTTAATCGGTAGAGTTGGTAATTATCGGGTAAGGCCTGGAATAAATAGTGTGGTTTAGTCGTAGAATACTAGGCTAAGACTACGGGAACTGGTGTGGTGAGAATCGGTTGAGTTTTGAGCTTTTGATGAATTTCTGAACAGTGAGGTTTTTGTGAAATCGCAGACATTCACCAACACCTTCGTTGAGCGAGCTAGTAGCGAGCATTCGCTAGGCGAGTTGGGTAGCGAACACTTCCAGTAGCCACTGTCTGCAGTCGCTAGCAGGTTCGCTAGGCGAATGAGGCAGCGAGCGTTCGCTGAGGCCTCGCTAGGCGAGTGAGCCAGCGAGCGTGACAGAATGTGATTTTTGTGATGTTTTGCCTTGTGATTCTTTTTGTAGGATTCCTTGGGTTGTGATAGGTCGAGAGATGTTGCTTAGGGGTAAAGAGAGTATACTTGATGTGGAAAGGTGATTTATGAAACATTGAATTTAATTGACATAATTAAATGCTGGGTAATATATATATATATATATATATATATATATATATATATATATATATATATATATATATATATATATATATATATATATATATATATATATATATATATATATATATATATATATATATATATATATATATATATATATATATATATATATATATATATATATATATATATATATATATAAGGCATAATGAGGTGATCGGGAGGAACGTATGTACTCGGTGTTCAATGTGATTTCCCTAATATTTAACTTGATTGATGTAATTGATTGGTGTATATACATATGTATGATGTATGGGGATATGATCAGTAGGATCGTGTGCACTTAGTGTGCTTGATGTTGTGTGTTGTGCATAGCATGGTGTCTTGGTAGGGTTGAATCATGTCTCAGGAGGAGCGTAAGTGATTCAACCATACTCTCTTATGATGTTGATGAGGTGCTCCTTTATGGAGGGTTGATGGCCCAGTGTCCATCAGTGATAATGTACTCCCTTGTGGAGGGTGATGGCCCAGTCTCCATCAGTGATTGTGGGGGATAGATCATGTCTCAGGAGGAGCGTAAGTGATCTATCCTGTTTTTGATGTGCTCCTTTGTGGAGGGTTGATGGCCCGGTGTCCATCAGTGATGACGAGTCGGTACCGCATGCATGTGTTGGGTTGCATTCTTGCATTGTGATATATTGTGTTGATGGTTGGACAGTAGGTCCTGTTTGATGTTGGTGGGGTGATGATTGTTTATTTACTGCCTTTTATTCATGTATTTTATTACCGATAATTTTGATCATGTTTTCTCACCTCTCTGTTGTTGTTGTGGTCTGTGCTTCTTCGGAAGTACAGATGATCCAGGTGCATAGCTAGCTTGGATAGTGGTGTGCGATCGAGTCCTAGGATGCTCTGATACG